TAAGAAGGGAATGAGACCAGAACAGAGAGACTTTATGCTCTTATTCTCACAATGTAATTGGCATTCTACAAGATGCCCATCAGATATGGCTCCTGGGTCTTGGACCTCCAAACTGTGAGCTGAATATACACTTGGGGTTTTGTTATTTAATCTTTTTTTAAATTAATTTATTCATTCATTTATTTTAATTTGACCAGAGCGAGACAGAGAGAGAGAGAGGGAGAGAAAGTGGGAAAGCAAGCCACCAGGTCCAGGACTTGAACCTTGGTTGGTCATGTGGGAGTGTCCAGCACCTTAACCACCACGCCACCTGCTGGTCTCCCACATTTTGTTTTTTTTTTAAGAGAGATTTTCTTGCTATAGGTGTGTGCCCTTGCCAGACAGACAGAGAGACAGAAGGCGAGAAATCACCCAGGGGGATTGACCACGTTGCAATGCCTTCTCCTCCATTCTCCTGGGATCTTGGGCATGCATGCACACGTACACACACACCAGGCATGAGTTTCAAACTGCCTGGTCCGGGACTCAAACTATGGTTGGTCATGTAGGAGTCCAGCAACATAACCACTATGCCATCTGCTGGTCCCACTTTTATTTTCTTCTTCTTCTTTTTTTTAAATAAATCTTCCAGGGGTTAGCAGGTGGCATGGTTATTAAGGTGCTGGACTCCCATATGGTCGACTGCAGTTTGAGTCCTGGACCTGGTGGCTTGCTTTCTGGCTTTCTCTCTTTAGTCAAGTTTAAAAATAATAAATAAATGACTACATAATTTTTTTTTTTTTAAATCTTCCAGTCTCAAGTATTTATTAGCACCACAATAGCAGATTAAGATACTTGGGATTCACTCCTATAGTGTTCTGGAGGTTGCTCTTAGTAAGCACATGGCCTTCTAGACCTACTCTAGTCTGAATCGTACTGAATCTGTTTTCTGATATAGGTTGATATAGGTGTGGGCAGCATATTGTGTAGTCTTACCCTTTACCCTCCCTCTCTTTTTTCTTTTCTTAAAATTTTTTTTTATGAGGGAACCAGCAGTTAGCGTAATGGCTATGTCGCTGGACTCCCACGTAGTCCACCGCGGTTCGTGTCCCGGACCCGGTGGCTTAAAACTCACGCCGGGCGCGTGTGCGTGCGTGCCCAAGATCCCGAGAGGAGAACGGAGGAGAAGGGATTGCGGCGTGACCATCCCCCCTGTGGGGTGATTTCTCGCTTTCTGTCTCTATGTCTCTGTCTGTCTGGCGAGCGCACGCGCCCTACAGTGAAAATCTCTCCAAAAAAAAAAAATTTTTTTTATGATAAGAGCACATGCATGCACATGACAGAGAGAGAGAGAGAGAGGAGCACTTTTGCAGGGGCTGGTTATAATGCCATCTTTCTCTCTGGCTCTCTCTCTCTCTTTTTAATATTTATTTATTTAATTCCATTTGTTATTATTTTTTAATTTGATCAGAGAGACATAGCGAGAGAGGGAAAAAGGGAAGGTGAGAAAGCAAGCCGCCAGGTCTGGGACTCCAACCACGGTTAGCCATGTGAGAGTCCAGTGCCTTTAACCACCATGCCACTTGCTGGCCCCCATAATGACCTCTCTTTGGTTCTTTAGACTGCTGGATCTTGAACACTGGTGCACGTGCCTGTTGTGTATCTGGCTGACTGAGCAGGGATTTAAACTGCATCCGCCATGTGGAATCTGGCTGCTTTTGAGCAGCAGATTACCACTGTGCCACCAAGTCCCCCTTTTTCTTCTCTTTTAAAACCCCTTTGCCATTCCCAAAAGACCTTTGGGACCAGCAGTTAGGGTAATGGCTATGTTGCTGGACTCCCATGTAGTCGACTGCAGTTCGCGTCCCGGACCCTTAAAACTCACGCAGGGTGCATGTGCGTGCGTGCCCAAGATCCTGAGAGGAGAACAGAGGAGAAGGGATTGTGGCGTGGTCATCCCCCCTGGGGGGTGATTTCTCACTTTCTGTCTCTCTGTCTCTCTCTCTGGCGAGTGCACACGCCCTATAGCAAAAAAAACTCTCAATAAAAAAAAATAAGAACTTAGAAGATTGGCATGAAATTTTCCCTTTTCCAAATTTTCAGGATTTACTTTTTTTTTTTTTTTGGAGAGGTTTTTGCTATAGGGTGCATGCACTTAACAGAAAGACAGAGACAGAAAATGAGAAATCACCCCCTGGGGGGATGGCCACTCCGCAATCCTTTCTCCTCCATCCTTCTCTCAGGATCTTAGGCACATGTGCCTGGCATGAGTTTAAGCCATTGGTTCCGGGACTTGAACTGTGGTTGACTACATGGGAGTCCAGTGACATAGCCATTACACCAACTGCTGATCCCAAGCCTTTCTTTTTTAAAAGAATTATTTAATTAATTAATTTTGCTATAGGGGATGTGTGTTCATTATAGAGGGAAAGTGAGGAGAGCAAGCAATCCTCCAGGTCTGTGTTTATCACTCTGGGACACGAACCATGGTTGGCCATGTGGAAGTTGTGCCCACCATGCCACCTGCTGGCCCCCAACTTGAGCCTTTCTTTCTTTCTTTTTTTTTTTCTTTCTTTCTTTTATTTTCTTTTTTTCTTTTGTTTTGATTTTTTGCTATAGGGTGCAGCATATGCTCAACAGAGACAAAGACACAGAAAGCAAGAAGTCACCCCCTGGGGGCAATGGCCATGCTGCAATCCCCTCTCCTCCATTTTCTTCTTGGGATTTTGGGCATACATACACACACACCCAGGACTTGAAACACGGTTGACCATGTGGGAGTCTAGCACCTTAACCACAACACCACTTGCTGACCCCCCCCAACTTGAGCCTTCTGATGCCTGCTCTTGATCATTCATTATTTGATATTTAGAATATCAAATTGCATATATTTCTATCTAACTCTTGTGTCCATCACTTTGTTACAATAAAACCTTGGAATTGTAATTTGTCTTTCTTGTTACTGCTACTTCCAGAATTGTGTAGTCAGTAGATGCAAAACAAAATTTTTCTTTAAAAAGTTTATTTCTTGCCTGAGTGAGACAGAGAGACAGAGACACCTCTAACAAAATCTTGACATCACAATCCACTCACAGCCTCAGTCAGCCCTGGATCACAGGCCTTACTTGTGCCTGCCCAGCATACTCAGGCAGGTCCCAGATGCAAATCTGGAATTTTCTCACGTGGTTGGGCCTCATGAATTGTCATATGTTGTACAACTACTCAGCCCCTGAAACAAAGTGTTGTTGAAAAGAAATCAGGTATGAAACAGGGTTTTCTGTTTTTGTTTTAACTTGCTATAGGGCAAATGTGCTCACTGGAGAGAGACAAGAGAGAGAGAGGGAAAGAAAACCGCCCCCCCCCTCCCGGTCCCCACAGGTAGCATGGTCACCTACAATCTTACCTCTTCCATTTTCCTCTTGGGCTTTTGGGTACACATGCATGCACATGTGCCCAGTACGCTTCTCAAGCCCTGGGTTGGGACTTGAATGACTCAGTTGGCCATGTGGGATCTAGCTGCCCCAACTACCATGCCACCGGCTGGCCCTGGGAGAGGGTTCTTTCAACTTGACAGGAAGCTTCTAACTGGTGTTCTGGACCTGCTGAAGTTCACTTTTTTTTTCTTTTTTTAAGATTTTTGCCATAGGGCGTGTTTGCTAGACAAGGAAAGTGAAAGATCACCCTCCCCCCCTACCCCAGGGATGGCCATGCCACAGTCCCTTCTCTTTCACACACACACACATACACACCTGGTGTGAATTTCAAGCTGCCAGATCCAGGACCCAAACCTGAACTGTGGTTGGCCATGTGGGAGTCTAGCACCTTGACCACTATGACACCTGCTGGCCCCAGGATTCACTTTTTGATACCTTTCCTCTTGCCCCTCCCCACTATTTAAAAAAATTAATTAATTAATTAATTTAGGTTTTGTCATATGGCTTGTGGGCTCCCCAGCGAGTCAGAGAGAAAAATGAGAAATTACTTCTGGGCTGGAGTAATTCCCTTCTCCATTCCCTTCTCCATTCTCCTCTCGGGATTTTGGGCATGCACACACATGCAGCAGGTTTGATTTACTACGGGGTCTGGGATCTGAACCGTAGTCAACCATGTGGGAGTCCAGTGCCTCAACCACTATGCTACCTGCTGGCCCCTCAAGCAAGCTATTTAGTGATTCCTTTGTTTTCTCATCTGTGAAGTATCTACTTCATAAAATCATTATGAGGATTGAAACACACACACACACACACACACACACATGAATCCTGCCACATCATTTATTCATTTATTTACTTTCTAATTTTTCTAGAAGATGTGTGGGCTTACTGGAGAGAGACAGAGACAGAAAGAGTGAGAGAAAAAGCAAGAAAGCATCTACCATGGGGCATGGTCACCACTGAACTCCTCCTCCTTCATTTCTCCCAGGATTTGGGGAATGTGCTCAGTCCAGGTCGTTTTTTTAAGTCTCCAACTGCACGGTAGGCCTGTGGGATACAGCTGCCTTAACCATGCCAGGCTGCCCCCACCCCCTTTTTTTTGTAAGTTTATGCACGGAAAGAGAGAGAACATGGCCCTCAGTTGGCCACGGCATGTCTTTTTCAGTCTTCCACTTGTACGAGAAAACAGACACAGACAGGTTACCTGCCAAGCTAACATACCTTCACGCGGTGTTGTGCACATACCAGGCACATACGTATTTCTTGAATGAATGAGTTCGTTTCCACTCTGCAATAAGCAGTTTGGAACATATATCTCACCAAACTTTTCCAGCTTTTCTAGAGGATACTTTCCTTACTAGTGAAAGTGCCGAGTTCGAAGAGTCTGCTCTATTTTTCAAAACTTCTGTCGAGACTTGTACCCAGTACATCCGGGAGGCAAGGTTTCTTTTGTCACTGTCTACCTCGCGACGCCCTTCGGGAGTTGTAGTCTTTGCGAAGCTTGCTGGGAATCGCGGTCTGAGCCCGCCTCAGGAAGCGGGCGTGCACGAAACTGGTACGAGGCGGGCTTTAGGACCCGGCGGGGCGCGGCGGGCCAGGGAAGGGTCGGGGAGGTCGGGAGCGCGCCCGTGAGCCCGGAGCAGCGGCGGCGTCGGTGGCGTCGGGAGCGAGCGGGCCCGGGAGCGGCGCGGGAGGTGGAGGAGGAGCCCGGGGCTCGGTAAGCGGCGCGGGCCCCGTAGGTCCTCGCATCTGGCCCACCCCCCGGGGCCTGCCCTACTAGGCCCTGGCCC